AAGTCAGCATTCACTATGGCTTGTACAGATCTATAGCTGATACTCACGATTGCCGCCACTTATACTATTGTTTTTCGTTGGTCTTCCCTGATGAAGACATCCACTCTCTAGATGTGTTAATCTGTGCGCGATGTTAACCAGATCTGCTTCCGTCCGTTACATTTATTCTTCCTCATTTAAAGCGTTCTGCCCACTCATACATTTTTCGTTGTTTCATTGCGCAGGCGCCATACTACGCCAAAACATCGGCGATGGATTTCTTCAGGTTTGACTCCCTCTGTGCGTTTTTCCTAGATGCTGCAATCGCTGAGTAGAAAGCCCATACGTCTGACCTCGTTGCTCCCTGCTACTCGACTGAACAACGGAATGATGCGCGTGACTAGCTACTCGTCATCCCACACGCTTGTGTGGTGTCGCGCGTCAACGCCCCCTATTGTTTTTACTGTGTAATTACAAAATTGCCTTTACTTTCTGATTTATCCTCGTATTATATATTATTCATACCTTCGCAGCTTATGACAAAAGCGGATTTTTACATCAAGTTTTTTGGTTCTTATACAATGAAAAATACAATACATTCACATTATTATTAAGAATTCGCCAAAGTTAGACAAACAAGTTCCCAGTTTTATTTTGTGAAACTCTTTCTGCTGTGTCTTCACCGTGTCCTTTCAGGACGTGGACGCTCACCTCTCTCCACAGCTTCCTACCTTTGTTACTCTCAGTAATACTTTCTTCTTATAGTGGTTATTTCTCCATCCGTTTCGGCAAATTTTTAAAGGAGGTTATTCGCCGCTTCTCTTTGCTTCTGTTGTTTTTCTTATATCAACAGGAGTAGATAGGTCCGCCTATCGCCCGGTTTACACACCTTACTTGTCTTTTGAATAGGAGTAAAAGTTTATCCCCTTTTTCCTGTTTAGGATTGAGTTCCCAGTTGTTTCTCCTAAAGTTTGCTCATTTTATTTTCACTCATTAACTCCTTGCGTTTTAGTGGCATTATTGCATTGGTTGGGGTGAAATGATTAAAAAATATACCTTGTGAGTGTTAAATTATCCAACTATTTTTCATTATGACCCCCCCCCCGTCAAAAAAAAATTATTAGCTATTTATTTCTGGTTGTTAGCAACAGTTTCTATGTAGTTTCTTTTACTCTTTGAACGTCCTCATTCGCCTCAAACTCTATGGAAGTCTCAACTTCCTTTACTACAAACACGTTTTGATTACCTCAAGATTAAAAAAAAATATCACAAAATTGTCCAGCTTTCATTAACATACCGTAGATAAGACGTCACATAACTGTCCAGCACCTTGTTTTTGTAAATCTAATTTTCCACCTCCGTGATACTAACATTTGAAAATCCACATTTACAAAACATTGATTTAAACATCAGTCAATCAGTTATGTGCCGTGCGTGATACACGCTTAAGCGATCATGTATCTTTCGATACATGACTGACGAGGCGGATCTTCTGCGGTAGGCTATAGAACCCGGTCTGTCCTACTATTTACCCATAGCTGGGGGGATGAAGAAGAGGATTCATACCTTTCCCCAAGTACGTAAGTGAAGTAGATTCGACTGGAATTCAAACTTGGCTCTCCGATTCCTCAATCCGAGCGGCTCTCCATTATTCGACCGTAGATCAGATTAATAAAAAATGTTAAGACCGGCATTAGTTTTATCACTGTTTATTCTATCTTAAGTATGTAAAAAAGCAAAAAAAACAAAAAACAAACAAAAACAAAACAAAAACAAACAAAAAACAAGTAAAACAATCGCTGAAGGGCTCCAAGGGAGGTAAATTAATAACATATAAGTTAAACTTCACTACTTCAATACATACTGGAAAAGATTTTAAATATATTTTATTTAGTTTGGTTTGTCAGACGCGTTTTCGTATGTGGCGTCTATGGTTGTAATTGATTATCGATTTGCTACCAAAGTAGAGTGACTTGAAAATCATACAGATAGTTTATGGTCATGCTATAAACTGATAAAAGATAAAGGAAAAGCTGTGCGATTCCGAAGAGGCGCTTCTTTCATGTTACTGAAGTCGGTTTGCGTGTGATGTCAGGCGCCCAGGGAGATGACAACGACGACAACGACAAGAGAGAATATTAGATCATTGATGACCAAATGATTGGGTCATGGCAGTGGAGACCTGATGACGCCATTTCACTAATGCCAATTACTCGATGTGATGGGCACGATTCTGTCTTGGTGCCGCTTTTGAAACTACAAAGAAGGCGATCGAATGCAGAAAGGGTTGGACAGGCAGATGAGCTGAATGATAAGAGCATTTAAGGTTGTGGATTGATAGGGATAGATCGACTGGGGCAGACTGATTGTTGTATACGGAATGAGAGAGATACAGAGATGGGATACGTAGATATGAATGGATTGGAACAGATTGATCTATGTTCGCATTGGGATAGATACATAGATGGGATATTTATGCATGGACAGGTATGAATGCATATATAGATAGATATAGAGATAGGATATTTAGATATGGATGGATATATTGATATGTACATAGTGAGACAGATACAGAGATGAGATACGTAGATATGGATGGATTGGAACAGATTGATCTATGTTCGCATTGAGATAGATACATAGATGGGATATTTATGCATGGACAGGTATGAATGCATATAGAGATAGATATAGAGATAGGATATTTAGATATGGATGGATACATTGATATGTACACAGTGAGATAGATACAGAGATGGGATACGTAGATATGAATGGATTGGAACAGGATGTTCGATTGGGATAGATACATAGATGGGATATTTATGCATGGACAGGTATGAATGAATATAGAGATAGATATAGAGATAGGATATTTAGATATGAATGGATATATTGATATGTACATAGTGACATAGATACAGAGATGAGATACGTAGATATGGATGGATTGGAACAGATTGATCTATGTTCGCATTGGGATAGATACATAGAGGGATTGCGTTGATAGGAATGGATACAAAAATATTGATTGATATTTATGGACTGAGGGCGATACAGAAATGGGATACGTAGATATGAATGAATCGGTAGAGATTGATATGTAAGTACTCTGATAGATGTACAGATGGGATATTTATGCATGGACACGTAGGAATACATAAACAGATAGATATAGAGATAGGGTATTTAGATATGGATGGATAGTGACATATTGATATGTACGGACAGAGAGATACGTAGACGGATTGCATAGATATAAATAGATACGGACAAATTGATTGATTGTACGGACTGAGAAAGATACATAAACGGGATATTTAGATATGAATGTCTTGGGGTAAATTGACATCTAAGTACAAACAAACCTCTTATCTACGGATCCCCCATCAACGGACTTCGGATATCAACGGACAACATCTGAAGGCAAAATAAAAAGAATCTGCAGTAAAAAAATTCCAAACCATCAGCGATGTATTTCAAAACTTACAGGCTTAGCAGAACGAGTTTTATTAGTTTTCAAAGTGACCGCTTGGCGGCGCTGGAGAGCCTTTCAATTGTAAACAAAGACGGAAAGTACGATACATTAGCACATGCGTGAGAAAGTAGCTGTAAGAAATCTATTTTCTTATTTTGATTTTGATTAATATATCTATATTAAGTATATTTATTTATGTCATATATACATGTTTATAGTATTTACATTATGATCATAACTACTAGTAGTTACTATAGTGGTTTTATAACTCAAAAATAATCCCTTTCTCGTCTACGGACAAATTTTTTTAACACAGAGAGTTTTGTCTGTACTGAGATAGATACAGAGATGGGATATTTATTCATGGACACGGACAAATGCTTACAGTGATAGGATATTTATATATTCTTGGATAGGGACACATTGATATGTACGCCCTGAGTTAGATATATCGAAGGATTACGTAGATATAAAGAGATTAAGGCACATTCATATCTTTTAACTCATATAGATGCGTAGATAAACAGACTGGGGCACGAACTGATGGATATATTAGATGGGACGCTGAGTTATATTTCGACAGGGAAAATTAAAATGTGCGGAAGGAAGTAGAAACATTGATGGAATAGATCGATATGAATAGAGTTTGGTGGAGAATTCAACGAAATAATAGATATATAAGACAAGAAAACTTCTATTTTGATATTTATCATCAATGAACCAGCGTCAGTAGAAAACTAATTTTATTTCAACAAAATCCACTTTAGCAAGAAAAAATATAATCCAGATTAAGAGTTAGATTTTACTGTATTGCTATAAGAATTTTTGGTGATAATAATGATTTATTGAACTAATTAACTGTTGGTTTACCGAAGTAATTGGTCAAGAAATAACAAAAGAGGTTGCAGATAAATAGTGTATTGGACGAAACACGACTTGGGAGGGGTGTCGGTTGACCAGCGTTTAGTCTATCGGCACAGCCTGACAGCCTCCGAACAGTTCCGTTAATATTTAACAGTTCCCCACGAGGATATAAAAGACACAGAACGTCATCAAGGCAGGAGAACCCACATGGGTTCGAACGAAAATCACAGCCTCGTCCGAGTTCCTCTCTAGACAGGAGATGCAACAGCCTCAGTAGAACAATCTATATCATCGTTATATTTAACGCCCCCCCCACGTCTGACAAAAGGCCGAGTTTATCGTGGCTTCTTCGAGCCTGTAGGCTCGGCCAAAAATATTCCCTTCGAACCCGTATAAACGGGATCAGGGCCTGTCTACCTCCCTGGACAAAACTTTGCCCTTCGGTAAAACCTCGTCCGGGTTCACCTTCGCCGAGGAGGAGAGTTTGACAGTAATGAACGGTTTGGAACACCGTTATATTTAACGCCCTCTCCATGTGGGTCGTATGTGGCACAAGGCCAGGTTTATCGTGATTTTATACCTTTCCCAAGGGTACTTGAACATAAGTGAATATAACTAACTTGAATAGAATCTCATCGATTACCTATTTCGAGCCGTTATCACTCATACATCCAAGGTTATAGCACCTGGTATTCTCAATAGGTCACCCATATCGGTACTGACCAAGCCCAACGTTACTTAACTTCGGTGATCTTACGAGAACCGGTGTTTCAACGTAGAAATTTTAAGTGAAGTGTGTACGTGTAGCGTAATAGACTGCGGTTAGATTGGGTACAATATCTGTTTGAGATAATACAATATGTAGATGTGTGGAAACTGGAAAAGATAGATAATTAAATATAAGTTATTTTTTATTTGTTTTTACAGTAATGTTTACACTGTAAAAGGCTTGGGGGCCACTCGAGGTAGAGGGTTCGATAAGGGTTAATTTATATGGATAGGAGGTGACGATAATGGTTAACTCTAGATTTGAACAGGTTAAGATTGTAGTGATCGGGGAAACATCCTTTTGGCAGTCTGTTCCACAGGGAAGTGGTTCGCGGGAAGAAGCTGTTTGATAGTAGTTAATATATTTTTTTCTTTTATTTATCTTGTCCTTTAATGACATAAGAGATCATAGTCCTCCACAGTTTCCAGTTTTTTAGTTGCTCTAAGCAATTTCCCCCTTTACCGACACCTCTTTGTTCTTGTTCTGTCATCTATTCTCGCAAAATCGTTATGTTAAGTTACTTGATGGATCCTCTTGATTCGCCTGCCTTTCAATAAGTCCTGTGAATGTTAATTTCTCCATGCCCTTTTTCCTCATTATGCATCCCAGAAATTTCAGTTATCTCTTTCTGATTGTTAATATCTGTTTCTTTGTATTTCCTACTTTCCGTGAAACTTTCTCGTTACTCACAACTTATCATGTGTATATGGGATTGGAGATAAAAATTACCCTTTTTCCTCGGCATTTCCCTATTAGTACAACCCAGGCATCAGGAAGTGAAGCTGGTGAGTTACTGTCTAGGGAGGACTCTATCATAGGTGCGTATTAAAAAAAAATGCTGCTTGACATTTATCCGTACGCTCAATCAAACGGAATATGGCTGAGTTAAAAGTGGAAATCGTACGCATGCATGGGAGTGGAGACGAAAATAATCCAGCTCTTCAGGCATTTCTCATTTAGGACGCCTTAGGTATCAAGTATTTCTGCTGACCTTCCCATTCTTAGTGAAATGGGAGAGGCACTGCGTGGTAGGGATACACTCTTTAAACTTAGCTTAATAATAAAAATGCAGTTTCAGATTTAGACGTCTGCTCACTCGAAATGAATACGGCGCAAGGCCAAGTTTAAAATGGGAGCCACACGCGCGGGCATGAACCAGATATCAAAAGACAGTACATACAACCGGCATTTCCCCTTTGGTGCCTCTTCTGGCTTAAGGCTTTAATACGAGAGCTCTCCATCGAAAGTGAAGTCTTGCCGGGGAGGACGAATTGTTTAATATCAGTATAAGAATCTATCTATCTATCTATCTATCTATCTATCTATCTATCTATCTATCTATCTATCTATCTATCTCAACACGCACACAAACACACACACACAAATATATATATACTTTCTGCATTCTGTTGAGGTTTGTTCTAGACTCGATGAATTACTTATGATTATTTTAAATCCTCCTAATTATTTCTATCTGAATATCTTTGCTAGAACTGGCTTCTAATGCTCTGAACTGAGCATCTTGGGGATTGTAATCGTAGCTCGTGGAGGCACAGTCCTATGGATAAAGAGAAACTCTCGGATGAGTTCCACCACGGAATATGTGATCGAACGGCGCTATATCAAGTCTAATTCGTTACCTCTCACCGAGGCCCGTTTTTATAGCGTTTGCCTCCTATCATAACTGTTCGGGTTTCAATTCTCGGTAGTGTATGCGCACTGCAGATGAGTCCCATATATATATATATATATATATATATATATATATATATATATATATATATATATATATATATATATGGAGAGAGAGAGAGAGAGAGAGAGAGAGATAACAATTGAACTAAGAAGGATTTCCGGATATGAGGAATTGATTACAAAGTCCGTATATGAGGTAGATAGATAGATAGGATACTTGGATATGAAAATTAATAGAGAATTTATAAGCTTCGAACCTGCGTTCCTCTTTGTAGGAGAAACCGCCATTTGATCCGGCGTGATTTAGAGAGCATTTTTCTCTAGTGCGCGGGCCGATAGACCTAAGTTTAGAGACTCTTAAAAAAAAAAAAAAAATAAAAAAAAAATAACAAAATAAAACAAAAAACAAAAAAAAACAGGCTGTCTATTTCAAACACAGGTATGCACTAAAAATAACGAGTCAGCATAAAAAATACGTCGGATAAAAAATAAATCCATTAATTCTTATATATATAAATAATACTTTATATATATAATCTAGCATTTTAGGCATTTCTTTATAATTCATAACACATTTTCTTTATAATTCATAACACATTTATCCACAAATGAGACAGCATCTCGTTGACGATAATATTTACGAAAAATAAATGAACCCAAGCTCAGAAACGAGGCACAATATTTAAAAACGAAACCAAGACATAGAAAAGTGAATACAATTTCTAGCTAAAACTCATCGAACACCACCCGTAAACATCCACATTTTGTGATTTTAGCTTTTACAAGATATTGCGAATTATATTGTCAATTATATT